ACTTAGGAATAAAGGTAACTAAGACAATAAAATATCTGTACACTGAAAATTATAAGATACTGATGAAAGAATTTGAAGTAGACACAAATGGTAAGATATCCCACATCCAAGAATTTTAAAAATCAATAATATTAGAATATGCACTCTATAATATGCAGTCATCCATTGATTTCATATAATCTCTATCAAAATTTCAAAGGCATTTTCACTGAAACAGACAAAATAATCCTAAAATTTGTACGGAATCATATAAGATCCCGAGTAGCCAAGGGATTCCTAAGAAAGAACAACAGAGCTAGAAACCTCACATCTCCTGATTTCAAACTCTATCACAGAGCTATAGTAGTCAAAACTGGCATTAAAAAAGACATAAACAATGGAAAAACTTGAGAGCCCAGAATGACCTGTTTCCTATACAGTCAACTGATCTTTGAAAAGGATATCAGGAATACACAATGGGAAAAGATGTTATCCTCTTATCAGTGATGCTTGGAAAACTGGAAGTACACCAGAACCCTTATTTATACTACCCATAGTAATTAACTCAAAATGGATTAAAGACTTAACTTGAACACCTGAAACCATAAAATTTCTAGAAGGAACATAGGGAAAAGTTTCTTGACATTGGTCTTGGCAATGATTTTTTTTGGATATGACATCAAATGTATAAACAAAAATAAAGAAGTGGGGCTACATCCAACTAAAAAGCTTCTGCATAGATGCAATTACTGTCAACAAAATACTAGCAAACTGAATTCAACAATATATTACAAAGATCATACACCATAATCAAGTGGGATTTATCCCAGGGAGCAAAGATTCTTCAATACCCACAATATCAATCCCTTTGATCAATTTAGTTCAGTCGCTCAGTCGTGTCCGTCTCTGTGACTCCATGGACTGCAGCATGCCAGGTTTCCCTGTCCATTACCAACTTGAGTAAGTTGAGCTCACTCAAACTCCATGTCCATCGAGTCAGTGATGCCCTCCAAATATGTCATTCTCTGTCGTCTTTTCTCCTCCTGCCTTCAATCTGTCCCAGCATCAGGGTCTGTTCCAATGAGTCAGTTCTTCACAGCAGGTGGCCAAAGTATTGGAGCTTCAACTTCAGCATCAGTCCTTCCAATGAATATTCAGGACTGATTTCCTTTAGGATTGACAGGTTGGATCTCCTTGTAATTCAAGGGACTCTCAAGAGTCTTCCTCAACACCACAGTTCAAAAGCATCAATTCTTCACATTAAAAAAAAAATTGAAGAATAAAACCTTATGGTCATCACAACAGATGCAGAAATAGATTTTGACAAAATTCAACATCAATTTATGAAAAAAAAAAAAAACCTCTCTAGAAAGTGGGCAGAGAGGGAAGATACCTTAACATAATAAAGGCCATACATGACAAACCCACAGATAGCATCATACTCAAAGGTAAAAAGCTGAAAACATTTCCTCTTAGAAACAAGATAAAGATGTCCAGTCACCATTTTTATTCACCATAGTTTTGAAAGTCCTAGTCACAGCAATTGAGAAGAAAAAGTAATAAAAAGAATCAAAACTGTAAAAGAAAATGTACAACTGTCACTCTTTACAGGTGACTTGATATTATACATAGAAAATCCTGAAGATGCTACCAGAAACTAGTGGAGCTCATTAATGAATTTGATAAAGTTGTAGGATACAATATCAACACACAGAAATCTCTCGCATTTCTGTATGCTAACAATGAAAGATTAGAAAGAGAAATTAAGGAAATAATCCCACTTATTATTGTTTCAAAAGGAATAAAATACATAGGGATAAATGTACCTAAGTAGGCAAAAGACCTGTACTCTCAAAACTATAAGATGTTGATGAAAGAAATCAAAGATGACATATACCTATACCATGTACTTGGATTGGAAGAACAAATATTGTCAAAATAACTATACTATCATCCAAGGTGATCTACAGATTCAAGTCAATCCTTATCAAATAACTAATGGCACTTTTGCAGATCTAGAAGAAAAAACCTTAAAATTTGTATGGAGACACAAAAGATCCCAAATAGTCAAAGCAATCTTGAGAACAAAATAAGGAGCTTAAGGAAGCAGGCTTCATGACTTAAGATTATACTATAAAGCTATAGTAATCAGAACAGCATGGTACTGTCACACAGACTTACAGATCAATGGAACAGGAGAGAAAGCCAAAACATAAATCCATGCATCTATGGCCAATTAACCTATGACAAAGGAAGCAAGAGTATACACTGGAGAAAAGACAGTCTCTTCAATAAGTGATGCTGGGAAAATTGGACAGCATCATGTAAAAGAGTGAAATTAGAAAATTTTCTAATACCATACACAAAAATAAACTCAAAATGAATTAAAAAGCTAAATGTAAGACCATATGGTATAAAACTCTTAGAGAAAAACACAGGCTGAACACTCTTTGACACAAATCACAGCAATATCTTTTGGGATCTACTTTCTAGAATAATGAAAATAAAAACAAAAATAAACAAATGGGACCTAATTAAACTTAACAGCTTTTACACTACAAAAAAAAAAAAAAAAGACAACCCTCAAAATGGGAGAAAATATTTGGAAACAATGAGACCAACAAGGAATTAACCTCCAAAATACACAAATATCTCATGCAGATTAATAGAAGGAAAAAAGGAATCAAAATATGAGCAGATCTAAATAGACATTTCTCCAAAGAAGACATATAGATGGCCAAAAAGCCCATGAAAAAGATGCTCAACATAACTACTTAGACAAATGCAAATCAAAACTACAGTGAGGTGTCACTTCACATGGTTAGAATAACCATCATCAAAAAGTCTACAAACAATAAATGCTGGAGAGGGTGTAGAGACAATGGAACCCCCCTATACTGTTGATAGGAACGTAAATTGGTACAGTCATTATAGAGAACAGTATGCTGGTTCTTTAGTTTTTTAAACTAAAAATAGAGCTGCCACATGACCCACCAATCCCATTCCTGGAGATCTATCTGGATAAAACCACAATCCAACAAGATACATGCACTTCAGTGTTCACTGTGGCACTACTTACAATAGCCAAGACATGGAAGCAGCCATGAGTTGTGAGATATCACCTCACAACTGGCAGCTATCATCAAAAACACAAGAATAACAAAGGTTGGTAAGGATGTAAAGAAAAGGAACATTCGACAGTTGGAATCCAAAGTGGACATGAGATACTGAAAAAACCTCTAACCATCTTGATGGCAGACATTATATACATTTAAGTATTTTCCAAATAGAATCCCATATTGCAATCTTAAAACAGCGTTATAAATTTCTAGAATCATCTTTTTCTATTAAAAAAGTAAAATATTTAAGGCAAATATTCTTTTAGGTCATCCATTTAAATTTATTAAACATGATAAAGGAAAAGAGAAATGTCAAATTAAAAAGTCAGAACAAATTATGAGGAAACAAATGGTGTTGCAAAGACAAAAAAATACAGGTAGCTTTCAACAGAAAAGTGACCAAGCACTGTAGTATTATATACACTATATAATGTACGGATATATTGGTTTGAAACTTCAGGCATTACCTTAATTATACCTCATTGTTAAATCCATAAATGTTTTCTTCTGATGTGGAAAATAATTTTCCACAACAAATTACTGAAGTATAAATAACATTATTAAATCTCAGTTAAAGGAAAAAGGAAAAGTATCTTTAAATACAAGGAAGACTAACTGGTACATCATCTCTGACAAGTGTATCACAAAATGAAAAAGGTAGTATCAGATTTACTGGCATTTGTATTTTGTGGACACCATTAAAATCACTTTTAAAAAGGAGTGTGGAAGCAGTCAACTAAGGATTTAATATGATTTAATATGATCAAACTATGAACATCTATAATACCTAACCTACTTCATTAAGACTAATAGTTTACTGAGCAATACATGCTTAAAGACCCTTCCTCACTATACCCAACAATCAAGAGTAAAGATGTCATAAACTTTGCCAAATCTTTATAACTGCAAGTTTCTAATTTGCAAGTCTTGCCTTATATTACACAGCCAAGGCTCTAAAACATTAAATATATAATGCATCATTCTTTCACTTTCACATTCTGAACTACTATGAAGGCTCTATCTAGCATATTTTCCCTTTCTGAAGTAAGTCTTATAAAATTATTTGCTTATCAATAGACATTAACAGTGATCTGGGAAAATCAACAGCCAATGGGTAAAAATAACAAGTCTTTCATAATTTACTTGATATTCTTCCTTTCTTGGTATTATATTATCAATGTACTTTTGACAGAATGCTGAAAAATTATTTGGATTATGACATTTTAAATAAGTAGAAAAACATACATTCAATACAAATAAATTTGTCATTAACTATCTCATATAAGAACATTCACTATGGCTTGCACTCAAATTAACTGCTATAAGTCAATGGGAAGACCTTTTCACCCCAAACAGGTATTAAAGCCTATAGTGAACACAATTTCTAAAACCCTGCAGTTTATTTCAACCTCCTTCTTACAATCAGAAGACCCATAACAGAATGAGACATATATTTATTATGAATCTAAACCATCTACATTTATTAAAAGAAAATAAAAGATCAAACCTGTTCTTCCAGATCTGCACGGCTTTCTTCTTGCATGCTCTTTCATAAATTCTTGATTTCAATAAACATTTTGAATTTCAATTTGTGTACGTAGATAAGTAAATATTTAAAGTTGCAGAGATATAAAATTATATATATATATATATATATATATATATACACACACATACACATTAATGCTGATGAGGCTATTTATATATGAGTTGTTAAATAATTCTTAAATCTTTAAGGAATGTCAGAATATACTTTTTACAAAGTCATTATCAGCTAAAAGATTTTGGTTAGTAATAAGAATAGATCATATGGAAAGGACTTTAATGAAGACATTTCCAGTAATGTTCTGGAAATTTTTTCATTCTTATGTTATTATTAAAAGAGAAGTACTATTGACAAACCTCGTATGTCGTTGGGCCAGGAGTAATCTCTTTGGAATCTTTAAAACGCTTTGATGCTTTAACAAATGAGGGTATAAAGCAGGATTTCTTTAAAACAGGACTGTATGTTGTAGGTCCTAAGAGAAAACAAATGTAAAAATAATAAAGCACATTTTAAATTATTGATTTTGGTCACATGGATATTATTCTTAGATCTGTGAGCTTAACATTTAAATTTGGCATCAAACAATCTTGAACCCATCCTTTTGAATGCTTAAAGTCATTCAGCTCAGGGATTTCAAATAAGATAAGCATAAAACAGACGCATACTTCATTTTATGGCACTTTGCTTTATTGCATTTTTCAGATATTATATGTTTTTCTTCTTCTTCTTCTTTTTTTTACAAATTGAAGGTTTGTGGCATTCCTGCTTCTAGCAAACTTATCAGCACCATTTTTTAAAGCATTTGGTCCTGTAATTCTTACAATACTTCAAACTTCTTCATTATTAAAATTATATCTGTTTTGGTAATATGTAATCAGTGACCTTTTTATAACCTAAAGACAAAGGAGAAAAGGAAAGATATACCCATTTGAATACAGAATTCCAAAGAATAGCAAGGAGAGATAAGAAAGTCATCTTCAGTGATCAATGCAAAGAAATATATGAAAACAATAGAATGGGAAAAAAATATAGATCTCTTCAAGAATATTAGAGATATGAAGGGAGTATTTCATGCAAAGATGGGAACAATCAAGGACAGAAATGGTATGGACCTAACAGAAGCAGAAGATATTAAGAGGTGGCAAGCATACAGAGAAGAACTATACAAAAAAAGATCTTCATGACCCATATAACAATGATGGTGTGATCATTCACCTATAGCCAGACATCCTGGAATGCAGAGTCAAGTGAGACTTACAAAGCATCACTATGAACAAAGCAAGTGGAGGTGATGGAATTCCAGTTGAGTTATTTCAAATCCTGAAAGATGATGCTGTGAAAGTGCTGAACTCAACATGCCTGCAAATTTGGAAAATTTAGCAGTAGCCACAGAACTGGAAAAGGTCAGTTTTCATTCCAATCCCAAAGATAGGCAATTCCAAAGAACATTCAAACTACTGCACAATTTCACTCATCATACACGCAGCAAAGTAATGCTCAAAATTCTCCAAGCCAGGCTTCAACAATATGTGAACCATGAACTTCCAGATGTTCAACTGGATTTAGAAAACGCAGAGGAACCAGAGATCAAATTGCCAACATCCAATGGATCACTGGAAAAGCAAGAGAGTTCCAGAAAAACATCTACTTCTGCTTTATTGACTACACCAAAGCCTTTGACTATGTGGATCACAACAAACTCTGGAACATTCTTAAAGAGATGAGAATACCAGACCAGCTGACCTGCCTCTTCAAATCTGTATGCAGGTAAAACAGCAAGAGTTAGAACTGGACCCGGAACAACAGACTGGTTCCAAACCGCAAAAGGAGTACGTCAAGGCTATATATTGTCACCCTGTTTATTTAACTTATATGCAGAGTACAACATGTGAAATGCAGGGCTGGATGAAGCACAAGCTGGAATCAAGATTGCTGGGAGAAATATCAATAACCTGAGACATGCATATGACAACACCCTTATGGCAGAAAGTGAAGAAGAACTAAAGAATCTCTTGGTGAAAGTGAAAGAGGAGAGTTTAAAAGTTGCCTTAAAACTCAACTTTCAGAAAACTAAGATCATGCAACCATTCCCATCACTTCATGGCAAATAGATGGGGAAACAATGGAAACAGTGAGAGACTTTATTTTGGGGGGCTCCAAGATCACTGCAGATGGTGACTACAGTCATGAAATTAAAAGACACTTGCTCCTTGGAAGAAAAGCTGTGGTCAACCTAGATAGCATATTAAAAAATAGAGACAGGAAAAAAAAAAAGCAGAGACATTACTTTGCCAACAAAGGTCTGTCCAGTCAAAAGCTATGGTTTCTCCAGTAGTCATGTATGGATATGAGAGTTGGACCATAAAGAAAGCTGAACACTGAAGAACTGATGCTTTTGAATTGTGGTGTTGTTGAAGACTCTTGAGAGTCCCTTGGACTGCAAGAAGATCCAACCAGTCCATCATAAAGAAAATCAATCCAGAATATTCACTGGAAGGACTGATGCTGAAGTTGAAGCTCCAATTTTTTGGCCACCTGAAGAGAAGAACTGACTCATTGGAAAAACCCTGATGCTGGGAAAAATTGAAGGCAGGAGGAGAAGGGGATGACAGAGTATGAGATGGTTGAATGGCATCACCAACTCAAGGGACATGAGTTTGAGCAATCTCCGGGAGTTGGTAATGGACAGGGAAGCCTGGTGTGCTGCAGTCCACGTGGTCACAAAGAGTCAGACATGACTGAGCAACTGAACTGAACTGACCTTTGATATTACTATTGTAATTGTTTGAGGGCACCATAAATCATCCCCATATAAGATGGCAAACTTAACTGATAAATGTGGCAGGTGTTCTGATTGTTCCCTTATTTCTTTCCCTCTCCTTGGGTCTATTTCCTGAGACACAATAAAAATACAATTAGGCCAATCTGTACCTCTATCATGGGTTATTACCATAGTGTTCAAGTGAAAGGACAAGTCACATGACTCTCACTTTAATTCAAAAACTGGAAATGATTTAACTTTTTGAGAAAGGCATGTCAAAAGTTGAGACACACCAAAAACCAGGCCTCTTGCGCTAGTCAAGTCATAAATTCAAAGGAAAAAATTCTTGAAGGAATTTAAAAGTCTTATTCCAGTGAGCAGATGAATGATAAGAAAGCTAAGCAGTTTTAATGCTGATATGGAGAAACTTCTAGTGGTATGGGTAGAGATCAACATTCCCTTAAGCCAAAGCTTAAATCAGAGCAAGGCCTAATTCTCTTCAATTTCATGAAGGCTGAGAGAGCTGAGAAAGTGCCAGATGAAGTCTGAAGCTAACTGAGGCTGGTAAATGTAAAGAAGCCATTTCCATAACATAAAACTACAAGGTAAAGTAGCAAGTGATGATACAGAAGCTGTAGCAAGTTATCCAGTAGATCTAGCTATGATAATTAATGAAGGTAATATACTAAACCACAGATTTTCAATGTAGAAAAAACTGCCTTCTTTTGAAAGAAGACGTCATCTAGGACTTTCATAGCTAGAGAGGAGAAGTCAATGGCTATCTTCAAAGTTTCAAGGACAGGCTGATTCTCTTGGTAGAGGCTAACATATTTGGTGACTTTACATTGAACCTAATACTCACTTACCATTCCAAAAACCTTAGGGCCCTTAAGAACTATCCTATATAATGCCTGGATAATGCAGCCTCTGTTAACAATGTGCTGCATATTTCAAGCCCGCTGTTGAGACCTACTGCTTGGGGGGGGGGAAAAAGGTTCCTTTCAAAATATTACCAAATACTGATGTGTACTTGGTCACCCAAGAACGCTGATGAAGCTGTACTATGAGATTAATGATGTTTTTATGCCTGCTAACACAACATTCATTCTGCAGCCCATGGATCAAGCAGTCCGTTTGACTTTCAAATCTTATTATTTAACAAATATATTCCAAATGGATCTAGCTGCCATCAATAGTGATTCCACCGACAGATGTGAAAGAAAGTGAAAGTAGTCACTCTGTCATGTCTGACTCTTTGTGACCCCACGGACTGTAGCCCACCAAGCTCCTCTGTCCATGGAATTCTCCAGGCAAGAATACTGGAGTGGGCAGACATTGCCTTCTTCAGGAGATCTTCTCAACCTAAGGATCGTACCTGGGTCTCTTGCATTGCAGGCAGATTCTTTACCATCTGAGCCACCAGGGAAGCAGCCAAGTCAATTAAAAACCTTCTGCAAAGGATTCACCATTGCATATGCCATTAAGAACAGTTGCAATTTATGGAAAGTGGTAAAAATATCAACAATAGCAGGAGTTAGTTGGAAGAATCTGAATGACTGAATGACTCAGAAAGACTGAGTCTTTCTTTAGCAATAAAGATTTAGTGAAGGAAAAAACTGCAGATGTGGAAATAGTAAGAGGACTAAAATTAGAAATGAAGTCTGATGATACAACTCAAATTGTCGCAATCTCATGGCACCCCACTCCAGTACTCTTGCCTGGAAAATCCCATGGATGGAGGAGCCTGGTAGGCTGCAGTCCATGGGATCACTAAGAGTCAGACACGACTGAGCGACTTCACGTTCACTTTTCACTTTCACACATTGGAGAAGGAGGTGGCAACCCACTCCAGTGTTCTCGCCTGGAGAATCCCAGGGACGGGGGAGCCTGGTGGGCTTCTGTTTATGGGGTCACACAGAGTCAGACACGACTGAAGTGACTTAGCAGCAGCAGCATGGTAAACCTTAACTGAATGAGGGGTTGCTTCTTATAGATAGGCAAAGAAAGTGGTTTGTTAAGATGGATTCTACTCCCAGTGAAGGTGCTGTTAAGACTGTTAACATTTTGACGAAGGATTTAAAGTATTACATAAAGTTAGTTGATAAAGCAGCAGCAGGGTTTGAGAGGATTGACTCCAATTTTGAAAGATGTCCTACTGTATGTAAAATGCTACTAAACAGCATGTGTGATATAGAAAAAAAAATTGTGGAAGGAAGAGGTAACTGATGCATCAAACTTCACTATTGTCTAATTCTAAGAAACTGCCTCAACCACTTAGCCCTTTAGCAACCACCACACAATATCAAGGGAAGACACTATACCAACAAAAAGAGCATCCCTTGTTGAAGTCTCAGATGATGTGTAGTCTTTTTTTAGCAATAAAGCATTTTTAAATGAAGGTATGTACATTTTTTAGACAAAAAATTATTGCATATTTAATAGACTGCACTATAGTGTAAACATAACTTTTTTTTTATTAGTTGGAGGCTATTTACTTTACAATATTGTAGTTGTTTTTGTCATTCATTGACATGAACTGGAAAACCAAAAATAATTGTGTGACTCTCTTTATTAGGATATCTGCTTTGTTGTGGTAGTCTGAAACCAAACCCGCAATATCCCCAAGATTCACTTGCAGGGACATCTGCTTACATAGTAATTAAATGTAAGACACATGTAATTTCCAAAAAAAGAAAATAATACCCACTCAA